CGCATCATACGAGTGGCGTAAGACTTGTTTTCAATTGTTCTGCAAGGCTAGATGCTGACACACGTGATCACCTCTGCTAGTCGAAACCTATTGAAAGCCTTCGGACCTCTTGCATCTCGTCAGGTCTCCATAGTAACAGCAGTTTCCCCTCGCCATCGCTTTGAAAGCACATTCACCCTTTCTTTTTAGTCTCGGGTGAATCACTCCATTTGGGTGTGTTCTGATCCTCAGAGCTGTATAAAAGAAAGTTTCTTTGCAAGTTCATCTCACAGATGTGGGCCACCTTTCTCTCAATTATTCAGTGCCAGCAGTGGCAACCCGACACGAGATGCGCCGCAGCTTTCTCCCGGTGAGAGCGCACCCGGAATAGCATCAGTACAACAACCGATATTCACTCAAATCCTCTTTACTGGGCTCCTCGCTCTGTTTGAGACAAGAGCAGGTGTGGTTGGCCTGGATTTAATAGATTACATTCAGTAAATGGGGTTAAAATGCACAGCGTGCAGCTCAGCCAATCAGAAGCTGCTTAACCTACATGTTTCATCGCTGCGGCCAATCAGATGCAGGGTCATTTGCATATGGGAGCTCGGGTGTGAGCATGCTGTTCAAATATCGTCCAATGTTTGGGAGTGTTATGGCGGTTTTGTGGGCTAATGAATGTTTGATTGTGAATGGAGAGGGTTGGACGTAAACCTTCTGAATGCATGAGTGTGGCGGTTAATTATTTAATCTTCCTGCACACAAGGCAAGTACTTAGACTAGTACTCTAATGCTTAGTTAGTGCATGTTTAGCATATAGTTTTTTAGTTGCGTCGCCTGCAATAGTATCTGGTGAGAACAGAATTCAAGTGTTATTGTACATTAAATTAAACTCGTTAACATGGTAAATTGTAGCTGTTTTGTGTGGAATCGTATCATTAAAAGTAATTTCCTAAAGGCCTGATGGATTATTCAACCTAGAAGATGCCTTGAGATGGGTTCCTTGAGGATATTGGTTGTTTGGGCGGTTTGTTTAGTAGCGTTAAATGTGCTCTGAGGTCTGACTCATTAAAGCTTATTCGTTAGGCTGCTAATCCAGGCTCATAGCCAGGTTGCATAAGGTTTCTAGTGGCTTCCTAAGCCCACCTTTAGTGCATTGACCAGGTCTCAAGCGCATTGTGCCTGAAAGCATCTTATCTGCTGCTTTTGCTTATATTTTATCACTCACTTGGAGTCTTATATTAGAGCTTCTTCAATCATCTTCATGAGGTGCATCCTGGGATGCTTTTTAAATAGTATTAAAAGATTTCACATGTTTGCTGGACAATTGTTGGCTGCAATTTTGGTTTTGTAAATACATTCGTAATAAGGCACAATATATATTTTTGGCGATGCACAAGATATCTGTTCCATTTCTTATGAGTTGACATTCAAGAAATTAATTTATCAGTATCGATATTGCATATATCAGCTGATAATAGATAATTGTGAATGCTCTTGTTCCCTATTTATTCATTTAGATGACCTTTGCTGTCGTCTAAGGCTCACTTAAAGTGATTCTTTAACATTAAACATTAATCATTTAATAATAATATTAAGTGTAATCTATAGCAAATCTCAAAATATATTTTTTCATACAGTACATTATAATATTGTGATGCCTCAAGTTATTTATAGCATTTAAGATGATTCATTTTAGTTTTTAGTGTTTTTTTTGTAAAGTATTTTGATAAAATTAGATGGTATTTTAATATGGGCCAGTTATTGTTTATGATATTACATTAATTTATACATTAGACCATTACATTTTAGGGATGTGCAATATATCCATTGGTTAGGAGTTCATATTCAAGGAAGTATTTTAATTTATCAGTATCGATATTGCATATATCAGCTGATATTAGATAAATGCATGCTCTTTTTTTATACGTTTAGATTACCTTTGCTGTCATCTAAAGCTCACTTAAAGTGAATCTTATTCATATATAATTTAATAATAATATTAGATGTCATCTATAGCAAATCTAAAAATATAATTATTTTATACTGTACATTCTAATGTTGTGAAAGTAGAGAATTTAAACGATCAATGTTACAGGTATGTGCCACAAGCACAGTTATACGATTCTGTGAATCATCTTTGTGAGCAGTACAGTGGTCTGGATCATTAACCGCTTGGCTACTGACTCTACACTAGTTCAGTTTAACCTGCTGGGTTACTCATTTGGTTGAGTGGGAAACAGTTCAAACCGTAACTGTGTGGAGATCAGTTTCACACGAGGGATGCCCACACCGGCTCAGATTACTACAAACACGCTCTCGCTCACTCAGAGATACTGTTGCAGGGGATGAAGCACAGAGAACTGAGCAAATGAGCAGCGGACACTCATTTACAAGAAACAAACAAAAGGATAAAGTTTCTACGAATGAAGCACAAAACAAGAGACAAAGCCTTCAAGAATTAAAGGAACAGACTGCACTTGAGTACAAAGCAGGTGGCTTTTTATGGAAAAGATTAACATGCTGGTGACCTCGGGTGTTTTTCCACATAGTTTATGTATGTGTGTGTGTGTGTGTGTGGGTCAGATGGTCAGACAGACAGATAGATAGCTCAGTCTGGTTTTGCGCGAGATGTCTTGTTTATCTCTTTTAATCAAGGTCTCAGGTTGTTAAATGCTTCATATATGAAGCATAACTTCCATTCTGCACAGGATAATGAGCAGTAGGCTTTGAATTATATACCCACCAGAGCATCTTAATTAGTTATGTTAATTAGGGCATCGTTCACAGCCATCCTGCAGTCTCATCCGTTCACTGCTCCTGCTTCTTTTTGGAGAGGCTGTTGCCTAGCAACTTCAGAGTGACATCAGCAGAGTCCGGGAGGAACGTTCTGATTGGTTACGATGCCCGGCGTGAATTCTGATTGGATGGAGAAAAGAGGAATTTGGAGTGTTTAAAAGCTGCTTGAACTATTTTAACCTTTAGCTTGATTCCTCTGGAGCTCTTCTCCAGTTCATTGACCAAAAACAGGCTGAATTTACAAAAGCCGTACCAAGAAACAGGTATCGCTTCGCTCGAAGTCCCAGCGGTCTGCACAGCCTCTTCCTGTGAGTTACTTGTTGACATTTCACTCCAAACAAACAGCTTCTAAACTGACTTGAAGGAGATCATTTTTTCGACTAAACGCTCTCTTGGAGATGCATTGCTTGTTAGTGCTGTTTTGCTTACTACTATTGCATATTACAAGCGCTCATAGTTAAGTTCAGGGATTCAAACTGCATTATGGAGATTTTGACCTTTATGCATATGTGTATTTAATTAGTGCTGTTTGTAAAGTTAAGTGATTTGATTTTAAACTTCAGCATGTGGTGGTTCTTGTTGTCTGTTACTTTAAGTCAATGCTGTTTGATTTGGCTTTGTAACATACAGTGTAAACCTGGTTACTGTAAGTCATATCAGAGTTTTATGAAAGATGGATCTTCACGCAGCTGGACTTTCCCCCTAAAAGCCTTTGCAGTGTCAGATTTGGCAGTTCACAGTGTGATCAGGTTGCATGTGTGTCTGTATCCAGAGATGCTGATGGCTTGATTCTGTTTTCACCAACGCTGTTTGAGAAGCAGGCGTGTGTGTGAGGTTTAGATATTCAGCTACAGTGTCCTTCATAAAGCATTCTCTGTGAGCGAGCTGAGAGAGAGAGAGACAGAGAGAGAAAATCAGATCTGAGTCATGGGCGCAAAAATACAGACACATGCAGTGATTCACAAACAGTCATTAAGTGAATCTGACAAAAACTTATTCATGTTTTTATGGATCAGTCATAGTTCAGAGTATATTTTGCATAATGCCATCAATATTTTTTAAGTTAAGTTAATTAACTTTAAGTTTAAGTTAAGTTAATTAATGATTCTCATTTCCATAATGCATGCAAATATCATTCTTATTATTGTAATGGGAAATATATTATTTAAATTGAAAATTATTTATACATCATGGTAGTATTTATTGTATTGCCATACTAATTTATTAATTTATTATACGATTTTGAGACTTAAGAATAATAATAATATTTATTATTATTATTATTATTATTATTATTATCTATGAAATACATTATATATGTGAGTGTGTGTGTGTGTGTGTATATATATATATATATATATGTGTGTGTGTTTTACTGATTATTAGTATTGTATTTTTATTTTTGTTATAATTTGTTATATTATTTTTGTTATATACTGAATGTATGTGTGTGTGTGTGTGTGTGTGTGTGTATATATATATATGTA